AAAAAAAAAAAAAAACAAAACACTAATCTGTAGGTATAATTTCAAAAAGTTACAAATTGTAAAATACACAAAACTTTTGTTAATACTAAAACACGAATTGCAATTAGTAAATATAATACATCAAAGCTAAAATTACAAAAAAGCTAAAAATTTTAACACTATAGTTTTGAAATTAACTAAATCTTTTAAATATTTTTATCAAAATAAAACCATTCATAGTTATAATATTCAATATCCATGTAGTGGCTAACAAGGAGAGTTGGCTCTTCACACAGGTTCTGTCTAGACCTGTGCTGTCCATTTACAGAAGCTGCAGCTACCTGTGGCGACTGAGTGGCTGCTCGCTAACTGTGGCCGTCCCCAGTGAGACCTACTCTAAGTGTAAAACATACATCAGATTGTGAAGATTTAGCACAAAAAAAGAGTAAGACATCTCATAATTTCTTATATTCATTTCACGGTTTGAAATTAGAAATATTCTGGACATATTTGGTTAAATAAAATATATTATTAATTTCACCTTTTTGGGTTTTTGTTTTTTTTGTTGTTGTTGTTTTTGTTGTTGTTGGAGTTTCGCTCTTGTTCCCCAGGCTGGAGCACAATAGCATGATCTCAGCTCACTGCAACCTCCACCACACGGGGTCAAGTGATTCTCCTGCCTCAGCCCCCCAAGTAGCTGGGATTACAGGTGTGCGCCACCACACCTGGCTGGCTTCTCCACCTCAGATCTATTTAAATCTGATTCTTCTGGTGGGGTGACCTAAACATGTATATTTTGAAAAAGCTCCCAAGGTGATACAAGGTACAGCTCTGGTTAAATATTATTATCCTAAAAAGTATGCAGAGTCAATAGATTTAATTCCATTATAAACTCCCAGGCCATATTCACATTTTACTTTCAAATTCTGCTTTAAATACATGGTCTTTTATTTGGGATTTCAAAATCTGTAACCGAAAACTGTAATTCGGAACATGACTAATTTGAATTTTTAAGAGTTGTACTGATTTCTCTACACTATGAACCAATACTTAAGTTTATAAGGTACACTAGATCACAGAGAACCTGTTTAGTCTATTTAAGATACACTGATCAAGAAGAATCCGGATAACTGATGTATTAATACATAAAATTCTTCTATTAAATCATGTCAGAGGCCAGGCACAGTGGCTCATGCCTGCAATCCCAGAACTTTGGAAGGCTGAGGTGGGCAGATCACCTGAGATCAGGAGTTTGAGACCAGCCTGGCCAACATGGCAAAATCCCATCTCTACTAAAAATACAAAAAAAAAAAAAATCAGCCGGGCATGGTGGTACACCTGAAGTCCCAGCTACTCAGAAGGCTGAAGCAGGAGAATCACTTGAACTCAGAAGTTGGAGGTTGCAGTGAGCCGAGATCGCACGACTGCACTCCAGCCTGGGCAACAGAGGGAAACTCCATCTCAAAAAAAAAAAAGAAAGGAACAGAGACAGGGCATAGGCTGTGAAGACTGTTCAGGTGAACATGGCTGCACTCACCTGCTGAACCAGGAGGTCACCGATTTTCTGGATGACGTAATTCCGGTCACTGCCCTCCTCCAGGGACTCCTGGCGGCGCCCCTTGAGCCGAGCGAGAAAGTGGCCGTGTAGCTCCAGCAGGTCGTCAGCGCATGGGAAGAGGTGGCTGATGGCCTTGCTGCTGAACTGCAGCTCCTCCTGCAGGGCCCTGGAGTACACCTTCAGCATGATCTTGAGCGTCCGCACATGGTGCACCTCCGTCTGCATCAGCTCTGCAGGGACATGGATGGCAGGACTTACCCTCGCTGGCTCCACGGCCCCACGGGGCAGTCTCGGCTGCTGCCTGCCCTTCATGTGCCTAGTAGGCTTCTGAGAGTTCTCTGCCTA